CAAGAATTTYACATTTCATTTATGTCATAATTGAATAAAGAATTCAGAAAATCTAAATAAAAATAATAAGGAAGACGGAATCAATGAAGTTTTGTTTGGTCTTCACTAGAAACTTGAGTAAGGAGTATAAATTTTTGGAGTTTTCTAGAATTTGAAAGAGAGAACTCCTTCCTTTTTCTTTATTTGATGTACCTACTTGAACTGGATGAAAAGAAACTTTCACGTCCGAGTTTGAGGGAGGGGGAGGGGAGATCCTATCCCAATTTTTATTTTGCTAGACCCATAGATAAAAAAAACTCACTTTTTTTACGATTACGAGGTTTATTGAGATATGAAATCCAACCCTGGAAATACAAGATCCCAATTATTTTTACTACCCAGAGCTTTGATACATTTCGACATCGAGAGATGTCTACCGGAGGCAGTTCGATCAGACAACAATTAGCCAATCTAGATTTACGAATTACCATAGATTAGTCATTGGTTGAATGGAAAGAATTGGAGAAAGAGGAACCCACAGGGAATGAATGGAAGATCGAAAAGTTGGAAAAAGAAAAGATTTTTTGCTTAGACGCATGGAATTGGCTAAGCATTTTATTCGAACAAATATAGAACCAAAATGGATGGTTTTGTGTCTATTACCAGTTCTTCCTCCTGAGTTGAGACCAATAATATAGATGCGGATAAACTAGTGACCTCGGATATTAATGAAATCTATATAAGAATTAGCTATCAGAATAATACTCTTACAGATCTATTAACAAGTATAGCTACGCCAGAAGAATTAATAATATCTCAGGAAAAATTGTTACAAGAAGCTRTGGATGCACTTCTTGATAATGGAATCTGCGGACAACCAATGAGGGATGATCATAATAGAGTTTCGCCAGAGATGGCTTAGAACCAATAGTTCATTATCTAATGGATCTTTMCGTTCTAATACTCTATCCGAGAGTTATCAGTATTTATCAAATCTGTTYCTATCTAACGGAACACTATTGGATCAAATGACAAAGGCATTGTTGAGAAAAAGATGGCTTTTCCCGGATGAAATGCAAATTGGATTCATGGAACAGGAGAARGATTTCYCATTCCTTAGCCGGAAAGATATGTGGCCATGAAAGGCGAAGGAATGCTGGAATTCCAACAGACGTCTATTATTGAATTCACCCGACCTGACAGTACCCGTTTGGGGAACGTCCAGTGCCAAAGTCACTGAATGGGTAAGTCGCCAATCCCTAAAATGGACTATGTAATGTTATGTAATGTACTTTATCTGTTGGGTTATGGACATTCATTTTACTAAAGGTTTATAACCTACCCTTGTGTGATTCCTGTTGAAGCATATACTCGGGGGGTGGGTGCAGGGCGGACGATTTTAAAGCAGACTCCACATTCATTAGATAGAGAAGATGACCAAGATTTCGTGATCCGCTGCCGAACTTATTCCAAGAGAGCTCGGATCGAATCGGTATTGCTATCAATTCCTTTAATAAAAAAGGGGCCTAGTATTTAATAGTATCTATAATCTTCTTTATTCCTTCCCAGGTCAATAACTAGAATGAAAAAAAGGGGAACGCAACACATCCGGGAAAAAAAACGATTAATCTCTATCAATAAACCTGCCAAAAAAAGGAACCATAGAGTACTTAGTACTTGTGCCATAGAAAGAGATGTTTTTAGATCTCGCATTGGAAAACCTCCTTCATTTTATTGTAATACATAAGGTAATACATATTGACATGTACTATCACCCGGTAAATAAGATTTACTTTTTGTTAAATACAGTAAAAAAGAGTCATTTTCTTCCCCAATATTCCCCCAAAAGATTTAAGGGGTTTCGTTCCATATTTCATATAGATAGAAGTATTTTACTATTATTGTATGTTAAATGAGACCAAAAAAACGAAATAGACATAAAAATTATAGATTTTAGGGAAAAGTACAATAAAAACCAATGGACTTTCTTGTTTGGAATGATTAAGTCCTTAGACTTTTTTTTGGAACAAATAAGTCCTTAGACTTTTTTTTGGAACAAATAAGTTCTTGGACATTTCAAAACATGTTAAATAAGTCATTTGACAATTTTTTGGAACAAATAAGTCCTTGGACATTCCAAAATATGTTAAATAAATCCTTGGACAATTTTTGGAACAAATAAGTCTTTGGACATTCCACAAAATGTTAAATAACTCCTTGGACAATTTTTGGAACAAATAAGTCCTTGAACAATCCAAAATATGTTAAATAACTTCTTGAACTTTTATAAAACATGTTGGATACATTCTTATGATTTGTACAACTAGTTAAAGTGGTAAAATAATGAAAAAAATCAGGAAAAAAAACTCAGTGAACATTCATACTTTGAATGATTAAGCCCCTAAATATTTTTTGAACCAAAAACTATTTAGATCTATAAAATTAAACAAATATAACAAAAAATACTTATATTTACAAAAAAATAATTACATTTAAAAAAGATTTTTGATAAAGTTTATTTTAATTAAAATTAAAATATATTATATCAGTGATTTTTCAAACAAAAAAAAATAATTATTGTTAAATTTATTTTAATTAAAAATATATATATATCATGTATGTGATTTTTTAAATTAAAAAAAAATTTAAAAAGATTACTGGTGAAATTTATTTTAATTAAAAATAATATATTTTATAATTTTTTTTAGTTTAAAAAATCACTGACAAAATATATTTCCGGATTTTTCCCACTAATTTACCACTTTATCGTTCAAAATATGAATGTTCATTGGGGTTTTTTGGGGATTTTTTTCACTATTTTACCACTTTAACTAGTTGTACAAGTTATAAGAATGTATCCAACATGTTTTATAAAAGTTCAAGAAGTTATTTAACATGTTTTGGATTGTTCAATGACTTATTTGTTCCAAAAATTGTCCAATGAGTTATTTAACATTTTTTGGAATGTCAAAGGACTTATTTGTTCCAAAAATTGTCCAATGACTTATTTAACATATTTTGGAATGTCGAAGGACTTATTTGTTCCAAAAAATTGTCTAAGGACTTATTTAACATGTTTTGAAATGTCCAAGGACTTATTTGTTCCAAAAAAAAGTCCAATGACTTAATCATTCCAAACAAGAAAGTTCATTGGTTTTTATTGTACTTTTCCCTAGATTTTAATAGAGGAGATAACGWTGTGGAAAACAAGACAGGAATTCTCTATAATGATATTATAGGCCAATGGAAGGGATGTAGTGCAGCTTGGTAGCGCGTTTGTTTTGGGTACTAAACCGATCGCAAGAATACCTCGAGAAGAGGATTTTATTATTATTTGCTTAATTTCATGAAAATAAGAACTTCATCTTTTATCTTGTTGATAGAGGYTTCTTGATCAATAATCAAGAATATAGAAAAAGGGGCGGGTTTTCTGTGACTTTTGATTCYTTATAYGATTAGATCTTATGTCAACAAAGAAAACCCCATTCGTCTAATTTTGACTTGGATTATGATAAACTAATTACTTGTTTGTTTAAAATAATTGAACTTAATGTTCTAAYTTTGATTCAAAGGAAAGAAAGTATGGAGTTGAAGAAACTCACTTAGAACATTTTTTAAAGGATTACGTGGTACGATTAGATCGAATAAGCCCTTCTGGAATAAATACTCAGCCGCTTGTGAACCTTCAGGTACTGTTTTATTCGATGTTTGTTCAATTACACTTTTACCCGCAAACGCAATGCAGGCATTGGGTTCGGCAATAATGATATCCCCCATAATCAAAAGTGACTCTAGTTTACGGTCAGATGAATAAACCGCCGGGAGCTCGTATGAGAGTTGGTTTAACTACCCTAAATATGGCGGAACATTTCCGAGATGTTAATAAACAAGACGTACTTTTGTTTATCGATAATATCTTCCGTTTGATCCAAACAGCATCTAAAGTATCCGGCTTGTAGGACCAACAGCTTATAATTGATCCAAATCAACCAATATTTGGACCTTCATGCCAACCTCTAGTTAGGTGTAGTGGCAACCTAGGAGCGGATGCACATAACTAGGATACTACTAACTTGGTTCGACCAAGTGTAAATTTTTACTAGTTGTAGAGCAATGCATTGTGTCTTTAAGGTACCACAACCCTAATTTGCGGTTAATATTTCCCTCTTTTAACATTTAGGGTTAATTTTGTTTATATTCTTGTTAATACTTAAATTTTAGGGGTAATTTGTTTATGTTAGTAGCTGACCCTTCAAGGTTAATTTGTTTGTATATTTGTTAATATATACATTTAGGTTAATTTTCTTGGGGTTAACTTGCTTATATTTTTGTTCATATTTAATATATTTACGTCAATTTGGTGATGAATTTTTGAACATTTTGGTTATGCATGTCATAAGAGGCAAGTGTTTTCAGTGTCATGAACGAAAATGTAGTTAACCCGGTTTCGAAAAATGAAGAACAGTAAAGAATAATTGCAAGAAATAATATCAAACTACTTGACAAAGACCCAAATAATATGAACCAAAGATTTCCTACCCTGAATTCTATAACTGGTCCAGGGCTGGGCCGGGCCGGGCCTTCACTTCCAATCAAATCATAACTGGTCCCGGACTGCCAATACCAATCGGTCCCAGGCTAGGTCGGTCTCAGACCCAGGCTGGGCCAGGCCCATTTGGCCATCTACTCTGTTTATGGCTCATGCGCAAAACAACTCATAACCACCTGCTCCACTTAGAGGAAAATGATTGGCTCCTCTTCCATAATCACTGAAAACATCTTTTAACGTATATAAAAAAATATGCCCTCTCCAAAGGAGGCTAGATAAACTTTGGCTCTGATGCCATAAAGAATGTGAAACACCTTAATTACTCTCCTAAAAAGCCTTCGAGAAGAGAACCATTTCGTTGCAACCATCGGTCTACCTCAATGCCATGTATCAACAGAACAACCTGGCCCTGTGGCTAGCAAATCTACCATGTCTAAAAAATGAGCATACAGCCACATCATGATGAGAGAAATAAAGGCGAAAGATGAAAATGTGACAAAATGCAAACTTATTTGATGCACAATCTCATACCGACCAACAACAAAACAAGATCGGTCTAGATGCCTACATATATGCTTGATTTTAAATGATCATTGGCATGATATCAATCTAGAGACAGAAGACACCAACAAACAAGAATGGGAAAAAAGAGATTATAACAAGACGCTATCACCTAACGAAAAGTTTACCCTATGCAGCAACTGCTGCCTTTTCTACCTTCTTTGCAGCAGCCTTTTCGGTCTTTGCAGAGGTTGGCATTTCTGGCTTTTCGATTCCTTGGATATCAGTTATCCTTAGCTTTGTCAATTCCTAAAAACATTTGATTCATAAGAATACAAATAAGTCTTGGTATTTCCAAAATACGGAATAAAAAGAAAGGGTTGGGTCATATTTCTTACATTCTCATCAATTTTATATCCTTCATTTGCAAAGAAAAAAAAGTTACCAAGTGAAAGTTTTTGTTACTTATTTCCGAACCTTCTTTACCACATAAAGATATTGAATAGAAACGGGTGTTCTTTTTTACACTGTAATTTTGTAAATGAGGTTTAGTTAAGTCATTTCCCCGTTCGAGTTATGGATGAGATTCTAGCATCATCATGTTTACCAAGCAGAGAAAACTGTAAATTGATCCAACTTTACCTGTCTATGACCCTTTTTTCGCCTATAGTTCTTTCTTCTCTTTTTCTTAAATATGATGACTTTTGCATCCAATGCCTGCAAAGAACAGTAAACAAAATGAAATCTGATTTTCCAAAACCCTTTCTTTCTCATCATTTCGATAAAAAGATTCATTCTCTTCATAAAAAGTAGGAAGAATCAATAAAGATGTCGTTTTCCATTCATACCTGGAGATGGATACCCCATTTAAGAATTGTTTCGGATCCAAAACGAAAATACAAAACTATTCTATTAAGAATTGAAATAAAGACAACTTTTACCCAACTCTCTAACTCTACAAAAAGGCATGCAAATTAACCATAACTTCTATTGAATATAAGAAACTACTTGTATGATTAACAGTACGGCTGATACCATGCATAAGAAATTACTGGTATCCAGATTTGCAATCAGTACAACCCACCATAATATTGTTATTTCTGACTTACCTTGCTGACTACAAACCTTAACTTAACAAAAAATCGTCTGTAAATATACGTGTGACACCCATAGCAATGAATTGTCTACCTCACAACAAATCTAGTTCCATATTGTCGGATTCATAGTTCGAGTTGTGTGTGGACCAAGTTTAACTACCAAAAAGAGAAACTAGAAGCAACGGACACAATTCTTAACAAGATACAAAAGTCTTGGTCAATATCTTTATAATTCCTTAGATAACATGATCAAAGTTTCCAATGTGGGTTCTTAGTCTCATTGCAAATTCGTTAAAAACAGATGCTGCTTCAAGGTTGATGATCTAAAAGTACACTCCAATTCCATTCGTTCCCTTTTGATACTTGATATTTATGGATGCTCAAATAAAAAGCAACTAAATTCTAATAAACGTTGGGTGTATATATATAACTATAATGAGGAAAGAAAGTGCATTTAATAATCATTCTTACATGCTCTTCCACGACTGCATGAACAGCTGCCTCAGGCAATACAGGTCGACCAATCATTGTCTGAGTCTTAGAACCAAGCATGAGAACTTTATTTAGAATTAGCTGCAATAAATTAAAAAATGCCATACATCAACTGATATTCATTGAGAAGATATGTTTTTGGCATGAAATGGTAAAGAATATGAATTTGAGCATATACATCCCAATATAACTGAACACATTGCAACAAAAGCCTCGATATTTGCAGAAGAGGCATGGAGAAATAAGCAATAAAAAATAAAAAAGCAAAACAAAGAGGAAAAAAAGAGGTTATTTCGAGTACAAGAACCTCAAATAAATCGAGTTCTAAAATTAACAAGAAGATTAAGACTTTTCGACAATGCCAAAGAATTAGACTTCACGAAATTCTTTCCGTCAAAGGGTGTTTTGCATTAAAATCTTCTGTTGCCAAGCCTCAACAAAATGATGTGAACGAACATAAAGATCAATATTTTCCAAGTGTTGCTAGAGAGTTGATGCTTCAGTCTCAAGTTTCAGTGACATTTTGGGTTGAATGTGTTCTTACGACTACATTTCTCATCAATAGAACACCATCTGAACTTAATTCATCTTTCTACACCTTAAGAGAAGTTGTTTGACAAGCATCCTGATTGCACAAATTTTCAAACTTTTAGATGTTTAGTGTTTGCTTCTACTTTGCCATCTCATTGCACAAAGTTCAGTCCAAGGGCCAAAGCTTGTGTACTTGTTGGTCATCCACCAAATATGAAGGCCTACAAGTTGTTTAACTTGGCTTCCAAACAATTCTTCTGTTCCAGAGATGTTTTTTATTAAGACGTCTTTACATTTCGGGTCAACCAAATATCAGTGTTTTGATCCATCTTTCACTACTATTCCAGGCCCTGCTGAAGTTTCGCAACGAGTATTAAAAAACAGTTTCTCAAACAGCTTTGCAAACAGCTTCGCTATTGTTTCTTCTGAGCCAGTTCGACGCCCTCTTGCTTGACTATCACTGCAGTCTTGTTTCCCACAATCATCAAGATACTTGCAGCCTTGTTCCATTGGGTTCTTATTCCTCAACCTCTCCCTTTTCTTAAATCATGGATCCTACATGCTTAAACCTGTCCCTTTGGGGTGCCCTTTTCCCCCTAATATTGACTTCTACCCCCTCTTCTCTACGCTTTCCCCTGAAACTGCACCATAAATATTCTTTACTTAACCATCACTCATCCCAACATTTGTTTGGTTGATCTGCTTGAGCATAAGCTCATTTGGTTCATGTCAAAGCCTCCACAACCTCATTTGGCTGCTGCCCGTCTTCTATTGAGGTACATCAAACAGCAACCTGGCTAAGGCATTTTCCTATCAGGTAAGTCTTCTCTTTAGTTAAAAGATTTTACAGATTCAGAGTGGGGCACATGTTTGGATATGCGACTCGTAGTTACTGGGTTTTGTATTTCCATTAGCAGTTCGTTGATTTCATGGGGATCTACGAAGCAGCCTACTGTGTCGTGTTCTTCAACTGAGGCTGTATACAGTATACCAGGCAATGGCAGCAACCACTTGTTGCAAGTTTGCAACTTCTTCTCAAAGATTTTGGCGTTTCTTCTGTTGCTCCAGCTTTAATGTTTTGTGATAACATAACTGTTTTACAGATTGCAAACAATCCAACGTTTCATGAGTGCACGAAATATATAGAACTAATTTGTCATTTTATCCGTGCAAAGGTTCTTGACAATTCATTTAAACTTCTGCCAGCTAAGTCTGGCTTGCAGTTGGTAGACAGGTTTCCTTAACCATTTTCATCTTCGAAGATTTATGTTTTCATGTCTAGGATGGCACTTCAGAACATTTATCCGGGGTAGCATCTTAATTTGGGGGGGGGGGGAGTATTAGTCATTTGAATTTAATCAGTTAGTTAGGAGTTTGTTGTAGTTGGTTGGTAGTTGGTAGATAGTAGTACATATACCAATGTATGTTTATGAATTCAGTAGTGAGAAATACACATTTCTTCCATCCTTTGTTGCCTTGTAATGCTCTGTTTCTGGTGTAATCCGTGACACACGTTTGTAACATGAGTTTGTAATGTTTCGTAATGCAACATGAGTATTAATCTTTCATGGTGTGCTTGCATCAACAGGTATATTACCAATGACGAACTAAAGTGTCCTGCTTCATTGCTTCAGACATTCATTTATGGCCAAAAAAGTGAGACTCATGATTCACTTTTTATCCCAATACATCTCTATGTGAACTCCGCCACAAAGTAATTTAGCTTCTGAAAAGAATGATGAAATCAATCAAATGATAATACACCAAGGTTGGCATCTGATAATACTTCGCCTCTATAGCCATTGGGCCAGTAATGCAATGCAAATTCTTCTGTTTAACATAAATGCACCTATAAAATGAATCTAAAAGCTTAGCTAACCTTGTCATTCACTTCACAGAACTTCAATTTCTCCGTATATATGCAATCCCCATTGCTCACCTTGAATTGGTGTGCTCCAATCTACAGCAATATAAACAAATCATTACACTTGTATAGACATTAATAGATATATCTTCATTTGACACCAATACGTCCATCAACAATATTCGTAGCTCTCTTGCCTTCACATGCAAGTGTGTGGAAAAGCTAACCTTCATTTTAAACTTCTAGTCAAGAATTAGGTTAGTTAAGCTATTTCTGTCTTTCTTATTAGCTGAACAAAAGCCATTCAAGAAATTAAATCCATGATGCTAAAATAACAAGTGTGGCATTAATCACTTTGCAAAGTCATAACTTGAATTATTATATTGGCAGTTACAAGAGTGATATGGTGAATAATACTCTTCATCCTGTTCCATCAGAAGTACAGCTTCATCTACTAGAATCAATCAGAAATTTGATGTTAATGTCACAGAATGTAGCAAAGCATGCTATTCTGAAACAATGTGTTCCATTACTAAGCAAAATACAGTTTATCTCTGGCCAAATTTGTCACTGGAAACCAAAAGATCAAGTTTAACACACTAAAAACATCACTGAATCATCAAATATTCAAAACTGAGAGATAAATATAACCTGAATAACAGCAAAAACAGGTTCATACGGGTTAAAAACCCGGTCTGACCGCTGAAGCTGCCCAATCACCTTATACCCAATAGCAGCAGCCTCAATTTCTCTCTCCTCCGGTGAATACTCCCTCTTTAAAACAGAATTCCCCGCATCATTCCCAATATCATCATCATCATAATCACTATCATCTTCTTCACTTTCATCATCGTTATCACTGTTATCGTGTTGATCAGACGAGAAATGGCGATATGTTCTGAAATGAGTCGATGAAGAATCGAGGTTAGGGGTTAAAAAAGTTTCGCGAGATGTAGGGTGTAAGGACTTTTGAGGGAAATTTGGCATCTGGGACAGGGTTCTTAGGTGCTGAAGAGATAACGATGGCTTTGGATGAAGTGTTGCCTTGTAGAGTTGTTGGGTTAGCGTTTGAAAAGATCGTCGATTAGCCATTGTAGATTGAAGCTTTATTTCTCTCTGGTTTCAATTGGGGTTCTGCAATTTGAGCCTCACAACATGTCAGCAGAATACCACAACATCAACAGAAACTTAGAAGTAAGTTGATGATACTAATTCAATAGACTTCAAATAGAAGTGCAGGATTTCACGAGTAGGGTGAAACCAAGCAAAAGAAAAACTACTCAAATGTTGATACTGTCTTGAACTAATCAAATGCTGATACGGGTTGCTAATATTTCAACCCAAGTTTTCTTCTTGAATTTGAGTTTTGAAGCTTGTACCAAGTAAATCCTAGATGATAACAAAAGTCGATCAGAGGATAACAAAAAAGTTTGCATTCAGTTGATATTGATTGCCAACACAACCAATCATAATCCTTTCTACGTAGAAGGGGACCAGGTGGCCAGGTGGGTACTAAATTAGCATACCAAAAAACGAAGTCACTAAAAAGCCCATGGAAAAATGCAGACGTTCAAGCAGAAAAATGAAGCAGTATAATCAGCAGGGGGTCTGAAGAAAGTCCAAGTTACTGCAATAGGTAAAAAATTTCCTGAAATTTCATCTACGTTATTTACATTCCTGAAACATTTTTGTGTAGAGATGGGATAACTGTACGGCCTTGGCATGCTTACCACCTAAAAGAGTTGCAGTTTCTTACAGGCTTCCTTAAATGAAAGAACGAACTCAGGCCTCAAATGCATAAACTGTGACCAACTTGGGTATTATAATATAAAAATGGTGTCTTGATGTAAATTTAAAACCATGACAAAGAGGGGGTGAGCCAAACCCATTTTATGTAACACCTTTGCCTTGAAACAACACACTCGGTTTTCTTCCCTTCAGGACCCTATTAGCTAGTTAAGCCATCACAATGAAATGTGGTTGATGGTTAAATCAAAACATATAAATTGTAGTTGGGGTATAAATTTCAAGGGAATTTATATAAATTCTGCATATCAAAAGCGCTAATCTTGACATCAACAGACAACAGTCAAAATATAATTTTCCAAGATCAGAAACTTCTCCTAGTGACACTACAGCACACACAGACAATAACACAAACAATTGGTGGCTGAGAAAGTAAAACAAAAACTAATAGTTGTATGGTGCAAAAATAGAGAAGCAGCACTGAAAGTAAAACAAAAACTAGCCACACACGAATAAAGCTATCACAATAAAATGCCACAAGATCACTCAAATCGTACCTGATTTTTGTTCGACTAGGAGATGAGCCAACAGAGATGGGAGATAAGAGCAGCTCTGCAACGATGAAGAGATAGACGAGAGTGTAGAGAAGAGGGTGATTGTACTCGCAGCCTATGACTCGAATATATATTTGCCCTAAAGAATCACCGATTAAGAGGTCAAGAAAAAGACTTTCTGATTTTGAGTGATTAATAAGTTACACAATTTTTTGACATAAGGCATTGGACTTTTTTAAAACCTAATAACTATTGAAAAATCCGAAAAACCCAAATTTTTGAACGATTAAACCTTGAACATTTTCATTTCTTTGAATGCTCAGCCCTGTGATACAAAAACTAGTGACATCGAGTTCAGAAGATGAATCAATCCAAGAATCCTGGTCATCTTTTTTCATAACCGATACTTCAGTTTGTGGTTTGGTATAGTGAATAAAACATGATTGTCCTTCAATAATACCAAATCCAAATATAGAGGAGTGCACTAGTCAACTAGGTTTTTGAGATTTCTTTGAAATTCTCCTCCGCTGAATCAAAGTATACGATGACAAGATCTATGACTTCATCTTCACCAAGATGATCCCCAAAACACCACCAATGTGGAACTCCATTTACAGTTACTCCTTGGGCATTTTCGAAGATGACATATGGGAAATCTTCAATCGTATTCCAATTATGAGAGAAGAAGATGTGAGAGAAAAGAGAACGAACCTGAGACGGTTGGGGACGCCGGAGCCGGAGATGGCTGGGGAACGTCGATGGTGATGGAGGCGGTGATGGGGGTATACGAACGGGGGATAGGGTTTAGCGATTTGTTTCAGGTTTTTTTTGTAGTAAATTGCAAATTTCGTCCTTGTGGTTATTTTATAATTTTGGATTGGATCCCTCAAATAAAATAATTGTATGCGGGGTCATCCTGGTTTATTTTTGTTATGGGGTTCCCTCTGTCCTAACTCCGTTAACCTTTGCGTCCTTAGATTAAGGGTAATATGATTATTTTACCTTTTTTTAATAATATTAAGAATGATATATATTGTATGTTTGACTAATTAGGGGTCCGGGTCGGTCCTGAGATTTTGGATGCTCACGTCGAAAAGTCTCAAAAAATGCCCCTTATATGTGTAAATAAAAACTAAAATAAACTATTTGAAGGGGTTTGGAACCTAGTCAATCTAGGCGGCTCATCCTCATGCCGATTTATTTTAAATATAACAAATATGATGCAACGGGGGGGACATAAACCAAAACCCCGTGTAACAAAATATAAAGTACATCACCATTCACCTAAAACGATGTCTTCTTGCGTTTTTTTTTAAGCAAAAATATCTATCACTTCGTCATAACTAATATTAGCTAAAAACTTACTCTCAATACTCAAGATTGCTAACCCGTTCAATCTTTCTTGACTCAAGGTAGACCGTAGATATGACTTCAACAACTTTAACTTTGAAAAGCTTCTTTCCGCAGATGCTACAGTGACCAGTACAGTCAATAGTATCCTGTAAGCAAGCAAGACATGTGGAAACATGTCCATTTTCTTTGCGAACTCCATAATTTGTATGGATGTCCAAGGATTTCCACTCTTAGATGTCTCTTCTGGTAGCATTCCCTGTAAAAACTTGTAACTCCATAAACAAATATTCGCCATCAATATCAGAATCATTACCATTTGTTAAAACAAGTTCAAGGTTCAAACAACATTTTTTAACTCGTCATCATGTAAAGTAACCAAATTTCGCCCATCAAACAAGAAGCGAAACATAAATTCAAATTCTTGCATTTATTCAAATCTGGTTCGTAACTGCAAAAGAGCTATATCAACTAAAACAAGAAAATAAACAGCTTCTAAATGTCTCTTGAGCGGATTGTTGTTCTCTTTTCGTATTTGAAATTTCATCAAATTGTTTTTTCCTTGAGAAAAAAATGTTTTACAGCAAACTCAGGTTCAATTCCAATATTACTTGCAATCTCTTTAGCTTCACGAATAGCACATGTAAACCCATTTTCCTTATATTTTTTAAAATATTCAACTAATCCCATTAGGTTTTGTATTGCAATATCAAGAAGCATATCTTTAGACCGTAACTTTTTTGCTAACTAAATTAATTCTATACAGAATTTCATGCCAAATAACCAAACTTACAATAAACTTAAAACTTGAAAGCTCACCATTAACCAAAGACTCGGCTTCCCTACACACTCTTCCATCCTCACTTACTTGAGCCAATTGTACTAAAGCATCTCTAATTTGGCCAACTTGAGTTTTGATAGCTTTAACATTTTCAATATAACTTTCCCATCGAGTGGCAGATAAAGATTTCAAAGTCAAATCATCAATATATTCTAATAAAACAGTCCATCTCTTTGTAGAATTAGAAAATCATTGTATATGGCTTGACAAGTACCAAAAAAGGTTTTTGCTTTTGTGACAAGAATTTGCCATATCACATAAAACTAAATTAAGACTATGACAACCACATGACATATAAAAGGCTATAGGATTTATATCAAGTAATCTTTTTTGCACACCTTGATGTTCCCTTTCATATTAGAGCCATTGTCATACCCTTGTCCCCGCACATAATTAATATCCAAATCAAGTGATTTCAAAACATCTTGTAATACATTAAAAAATCCTAAACCAGATGTATCTTCTACCACCAAAAACTCTAAAAAGAACTCTTCTACTTGTATAGGAAGCTGGACACGTCAACACATCTTAAAATCAAAGTCATTTGTTCTTGATGACTTGCATCCGGAGTACAATCAAGAACAACTGAAAAATATTTTGCCTCTTTGATCTTTTTAATGATTGCACTCTTAACATTAGATGCCAATATGTCAATCAATTCATTTTGAATTTTGTGGCTAAGATAATGATAATGAGTTTTTTTTCTTTGATACGCTGAAAGTGTTGTTTCATAACCGGATCAAACTCAGCAATCATTTCAATTAAGCCTAAGAAGTTACCATTAGATTCTTCAAAAGGTTTTTCATTTTTCCCACGAAAAGCTATATTATTCTTTGCTAGACATTTAACAACAACAATTATTCTAACCAAAATTTCTTTCCAATTATCACTATCCTTTTTTATTAAATCTTGTAGCTCTTTATCAAGTGTTTCATTATTACTCAATCTCAATCGCAATTCGGACCAAATTCTCAAGCTAGTCATATGCTCAATGCTATTTTCATGAGCGCTTAATCGTTGACCAAGATGTTTCCAATCACTTAATCCAACACTTGCTAATTGGCTTTTTGACTGACCTTCTTTAAAAAGTTTGCAACAAAAACAAAAGACTTTATCTAAATCTTTTGAATAAACTAACCACTTTCTATCATGACAATCACCATTGAGTAGCTTACGAACATAAAGTTCATCAGAGAAGTGTCTACCTATATTATCTCTAGGGAAATTGATGTTAGCTTCCCTAATAGACCATTTTTCAACAAGCAAATCTTTCATTTTAGAATTTAGCATATCCCAAATTCTTGGATCAAATATATTTAAACGAACATCACTAGAAGCATCATCAATGTTTTCATCATCACAAGCACAAACATTTTCATTACTAACATTTTCCTTTGCATAAAAAGCATTTGTATCACAAGCATTTTCACTTTTATCACTAGTATTTTCATCACAAGCATTTGCATCACAAGTAATTTCATTTTTATCACTACCATTTGCATCACACGCATTTTCATTTTTATCACTATCATTTTCAGAAACATTTGGTTGTCTAACAATAAACTTATTTAGAAATCCTTGCATAAACTTATTTAGAAATCCTTGCAAAGATTGAGCAATTTCTTCTTGCCTTTTCTTTCTTTTCCTATTTTGAGCACCCGATGGTTGTGATCGAGGCAAATATAACTTAAGTAGTTAAATTGTTAAACAAATGATACGATATAAAGAATAGAAAGATAACACTTGGATTTAGTCCTTCGTGGTTCGTGTTGTGAAATTGCCAAGAAAGTGGAACGATTAAGCAACGTGGACAAATTGATAAAAGAGAAAACATAAGCATCTATCTTAAGCCTTTGTCCTATACTAAACCGCTTCTAAACAGCCCTAAAATTAACAAATGGTTGTCGTTTGTTTCTAATTTTGTGTTGTGGTTTGTAACAAGTGAAACATAAATGACAAACCACAAAGTACCAATTTCACAGCTTCATTATTAGGTTTTGCAATCAAACAAGAATTAGAAACTTAAAAAATAAAATAAGTAAAGTAATAACCCTAAGTCCCTTACCTCACAAGTGTCAAGGCCGATTGCAATAGTCGAGAGAGACCAGAGAGCGAGAGCGATAGTCGCAGATCGGCAGACGGCAGTCGGCAGGCAGTCGATAGACTATAGTCGAGAGAGGCAGAGAGCGAGAGCCGATTGTGTTAACTGTCAAGGCCGATTGGCGATTGCGATTTCTAGAGCGAGTGAGCGAGAGCGAGACGAGAGCAAGAGCGAGACGAGAGCGAGAGTTGAGGTCGAGGGAGTGAGCCGTGAGAGAGGATGATGGACATGGACTGTGGACGAATTGTAGTGGACAACAAAGTAACGGTAATATTTTTTAGGCCCAAATGAAAATTGAACCTATACATACACATTGGGCTTTAAAATTTTGATGCCCTTGGGCTTTATACTGCCCTGGGCCGTCGGCCCCCGGCCCTGGAAGGGTCGTTTACCCAAATGCTTACCCGGTAAGTGCTTATCGGTAATAGTCAAACACTCTCACTTACCTTACCTAGTAAGATTTTAATCCATTAAACCAGAATCTTATACAACAATTTATCCAGTTAGCCTTTCTGAGTAAGAGTCATCACACACACTTGCCGGTTAAGACTCTCAGCCCTTACTGTTGCTCTTACCGAGTAAGATTCACAATCATTGCAATGTTCGGGTTTTAAAGTAAACTGACATAGTATGCACTTACTGGGTAAGCATTTTGTAAACGGCCCCTTAGTCTTCCCAGTCCAATAAAATCTCGATCGATAGTAGCACCGCCTTCACTAACCATCGCCATTTCCTTTCCTTCCCCCTTAAACTTCGGCAAGTCAGCAATCCAACTTTATGGTGTCATTTACCAAACTCTTACTTGAGTAAGTGCTTCTCAGTAAAATTCAATACTATCACTTACTTACGGGGTAAGATTTTAGTCTACCAAAAATTGTATCGTATGTAAAAGTTTACCCGGTAAGCGCTAACCGTGGTAAGAGTTGTCGTCATCACTTACCGGGTAAGACTCTAGGTCCTTATCTTTGCTCTTACCGGGTAAAATTCTTGGTCCTTGTCATATTCATCAGTAAGGCAATGTAACTTGATAAGCACTTACGGGATAAGTGTTTGGTAAACGGCCCCTAAGCCATCTTCTATAGACCACTAACCATCACCCCCTTCCATTTTCTTTGTACTCTCACGAAGGACCATTGAATCTGATCTCAATATACCCTTAGTTATGTCCTACTCCTAATCACAATCACTGGGATTACATTGTAAGAATTCCAACGAAAATCATTTATGAACTTGGATGAATCCTTAGTGTTATACAAGCTTTTGAGTGAACTCATCGAGAAATTGAAACTGGATTCATTGATAAATCGAAACTGGGTTCATCCGTAAATTGGAATTGGGTTCATCAAGTCATCAGGAAATCGAACGAGATTCATCGATAAACCAAAACGAGATTCATCGATAAATTGAAACATGATTCATCGAGTCAACGGGGAAATCGAAACCAGATTCCTCTATAAATTGAAACCAGATTCATCGAGTCATCATCGGGAAATCGAAATCAGATTCATTGATGGCCACAACTTTTGGTTTTATGTTTTTATGT